GCCCACTGTGTGGTTTCTCTTTAGAAGTTTGTTGGAAGTTTAATGTTCTGTGTTAAAACATAAAAATCCTTGGGCTTTCTGCAATTTCTGGAATTCTTTAAACTAAGAAAGGCCTGAAAAGAAGGGCCTGGCGACACTGCTCAGACCAGCGTACGCATTCTCAGCTGTGGCGGTGACACACCACAGGGCATGGACCCTGACATCTGTTGGAGCAATTGTCCCTGCAACATTAGAGGCTTCAATCCAGATGGAGCTTCAGAAGGAGGACACAGCTCTCCAAGTCTTGGGCAGTAGGGAATGCCTGGGGCCTCTCGCTGAGGCTGGGGCTGATGGTCTTTTTACTTGCAGGAGGTGTACAGTGGTTGGGGACCTGTGCCACCAAGTCAAGGAGCTGCAGGAGGAGGTCGGCAAACTGCACAGCATCACAGAGGATGAGAAAGAGATAGACCAGCTCTTCTTTGGGACTGTGCAGCTTCAGGAGCCTGAATGTCCAACCGTAGGAGGGAGTTAGGGCCTTTTGGGAAGTAGAAATTCCCATGATGGCAAAGGCTGGAAGCTGGTGACCTCTGGCACCAGGAGGAGGGCTCCTTCTCCATCTGAAGATCTGCAGCTTTGGAATAGGTTCACTCCCCGTGTAGCTGATGAGAAGCTGGGAACACTCTCGAATGGAGCATCTATGCCAGCTGAGCCTCAGCCACACAGGAGCACCAAGAAGAGTAGTGAGTGTTAGTAGTGGGAGACTCCCTGCTGCAGGGGACAGAGGCCCCCGTCTGCTGACCTGACCCATCATCTAGGGAGGTTTGCTGCTCGCTGGAGGCTCGCATTCAGGATGTTGTAGAGAGGCTGCTAAGGCTTTTCCAGCCCTTAGACTACTACCCCCACTGCTCTTCCATGTGGGCAACAATAATATTTGTAGAGAAGAGCTGGAAAGTATCAAATGTGACCACATGGCCCTGGGGGTAATGGTCAAGGACATGGGGGCCCAAGTGTTCTCCTCCACCCTGCAAATAAAGGGGAAAGTCCTGAGGAGGACAGAGCACGTCCTGTGGGTCAACAATTCATTGTGCGGCTGGTTTCAACAGCAGTGTTTCATTTTCTGCAACCATAGAACCCTCTTCAAGGACTGACAACTGCTTAATAGAGATAGGATTCACCTGACAAAATGGAGCAAAAGTATCCTTGCCAACAGGTTGGTAAGGAGGGCTTTAAACTAAGACTGATGGTGGATGGAGGAAATGACCAAGAGCAAGTAAAGGAATCGGTGGACAGGGTTGGCAACCAAAGGATCTGGGGTGATGCAAACAGGAGGGACCTCTTAATCAACAAAACACGGCTGAAGTGAAATCACCCCGAGTGTATGCATGCAAATAAGGAAGAGCCTGTGGGACCATGTTATGGGGAAATCAGTTATGCCCTTTCTAGGAAGACGGCATGCCGAGGTGCCTCTCTGAAGTGCCAAACACTAATGCACGCAGCATGGGAAGCAAGCAGGAGGAATTAGAAGTTTGTATGCAGTTACAGGGCTATGATCTCACTTGGATTATGGAAACATGGTAGGATAGCTCACATGACTGGAATTCTGCAATGGATGGATACAGGCGTTTTAGGAAGGGCAGGCCAAGGAAGATGAGGGGGAGTTGCCCTTTATATGAGAGAGGAGTGAGCTCTGCCTGGGGACAGGTGAGGGGCTAGCTGAGAGCTTATGGGTCAGCATTAGTGGGAAGACCAGCATGGGTGACACTGCAGTGGGTGTCTGCTATAGACCACCCGATCAGGAAGAAGAAGTTGACGAGGTCTTCTTCAGACAGCTGGAAGAAGCTTCACGTTTGCAGGCCGTGGTCCTCATGGGGAACTTCAGCCACCCTGATATCTCTGCTGAAGGGACAACACAGCAGGGAACATGCACTCCAGGCAGTCTCTGGAGTGCATTGATTACAACTTCCTCACACAGGTGATCGAGAAGCTGCTGAGGAGAGGCGTTCTGCTGGACCTCACACTTACAAACAAGGAAGAACTGGCCAGAGATGTGAAAGCTGGGGATAGCCTTGGCTACAGCCACCACAAGATGTTGGAGTTCAGGATCCTGTGAGGAGGCAGCAGGCCAAAAAGCAGGATCACAACCCCGGACTTGCAGGAAAAGATCTTGGCCTCTTCAGGAATCGGCTTGGAAGAATCCCATGGCATTCAGCCCCGGAGGGAAGAGGAGTCCGAGAGAGCTGAGTGATGTTCAAGGAACACCCTCCTCCAAGCTCAAGAATGGTCCATCCCAGCAAGCAGGAAAACAAGCAAAAGCAGCATGGATAAACACAGAGCTCCTGACTAAACTCAGACATATAAAGGAAGTGTACAGGAGGAGGGAGCAGGGACAAGTGACCCAGGAGGAATATAGAGACACTGTCCGAGCATGCAGGGATGGGGTTAGGAGAGGTAAAGCCCACCTGGCGTTGAAACTGGCAAGGGACATGAAGGGCAACAAGAAAGGCTTCTACAAGGACATAAGCTGCAAACGGCAGGCTAGGGAAAATGTGGGCCCACTGCTAAACGGGGCAGGGGCCCTGGTGACAAAGGATACAGAAAAGGCAGAGGTGGTGAATGCCTTCTTCATCTCAGTCTTTGCTGGTTAGACTGGCCTCCAGGAACCCCAGGCTTACTAAGCGAAAAACAGGCTTAACCAACCCAGCAGCCTTCTATGATGAGATGACTGGCTCAGTGATTGGAGAGGAGTGGATGTTGTTTACCTTGACTTCAGTAACGCTGTTGACTCTATCTCTCATAACATCCTCATAGACAAGCTGATGAAGAATGGGCTGAGTAAGTAAGTGGTCAGTGACGTAGACTGCAAACCGGTGGAACTCACTGGTTCAGAGGACTGTGATCAGCAGCACAAAGTCCAGCTGGAGGCCAGTCACTAGTGGTGTCCCCCAGGGGTCAATACTAGGGCCAATACTGTTTCACATCTTCATTAATGACTTGAATCCAGTCCAGTGCCAGACTTCCCCTTACAGAAGAGACATGGACATACTGGAGCGAGTCCAACAAAGGGCCACAAACATGATTAAGGGACTGGTGCATCTGTCACACAAGGAGAGGCTGAGAGAGCTGGGACTGTTTAGCCTGCAGAAGAGAAGGTTCAGGGGGGATCTGATCAATGTGTATAAATATCTGATGGAAGAGTTTAAAGACTATGGAGCCAAACTCTTCTCAGTTGTGCCCAGAGACAGAAGGAGAGGCAATGAACACGAACTGAAACACAGGAAATTCCATATGAGCATAAGAAAACAGTTGTTCACTTCACATAGTGCAGCCTGTTCTAGCTGAGCCTGCTTGAGCAGAGGGTTGGACATGATGATCTCTCCCTGCCAACCCCAACTATAATGTGATTCTGTGATTCTGTAATTCCCTTAGAGTAAATAAAAAAAAAAAAAAAGGCCATCTGCCCTTTAAAGGTGAATGGGGGGAAGGGCTTTTAATCAAATGAATTGAAAGAGAGATGCCTTTCAAGAGAGACTACTTTTTGAAAGGATAACTTTGTTTTAAAACAAGTTTTTGTCTTCTGTTTTAAACCTCTTCAGATACTATCAGGCCTTTGCAATATCACAGCAATCTTTCAAAAAGAAATCTTTTAGGGCTAAAATACCAACTGAAAGCACAAGGGCAGTGTTTCTTTGTTTCCCCATAAGCTGGGGAAAGCTCTTAAGGAGGGGGGACGGGCAGAGAAGCATTGACTGGGAAAACACTATGCAATTCTGTAAACAAAGAAGTTTAAGCACTGGGGTTGCCAAACAAAAGCTTGCACTTGGAACAGACCAGTTATTTTTTCTGTCATGGGTTCCTAGCATTAGATAATTAGTTCAATATTTAGCCACATAAATAAATGTGGCCTGATATTTAGAAGTACCAGAAACACCATCCCTGGACATAACATTCAAAACAATTTCAGGAACTCTGCATCTTTTATACATAAGTATCTATAGAAGGATTTAGTTACCTCATTCTAGTTATGAAAATCAAGCAAGTTGATCAAATATCAAAGTTAAAAATTTGTTAAATTATCACAAAAAAATCTGTAATGCTATAAAACATTTAAATCCAACTGTGAGAATCCCCAGGGTTTCTTTTTTATTACACATTCATCTGCCTAGTAATCCCCTCTTCTGTTATAATCATCAACAGACTAGGACACTTGCTGGGAAGTAATGTTACAATGGACGGTTTCATTAAGAAACGTGAGAAGCATTTGCAATTAGCTCTAAGGAATGAGTTGAAAATTCATCTTCCCTCTCTTTCTCTCTCACGCACTCCAGTAAATACATAAGCAATGTCATTTCACCTTTGGGAGAGACTCTCTTGCTTAGGGAAAGCAAGGAATTCAACTCTTCAGGATACAATAATGTTGCAGATAGTGGCACACACTTTCACTTCATGCAGTTTCAGATGTGTAACTTATCGGCTTCTATTTCGGGGTGAGAGCACAATCAGAGTAGGAGCCTAACTTAGGTGCACTAAAAGTCACTCATCACATGAACTCCTCTCCCTTATTTGGTTATACAGAAATTCTGCAAAAACTTACTCAAAACTGAATACCAAAAGTTGCATGGTCGATGTCTCACCACCAGTCTTGCTGGAGAGATATGGCCATCAGAGGAGGATAGGTGGGAGTACATCCTGCTGAGCAGTAGTATTAACTCCTTCCTTTAACTCTACCACCTCTGTCTAGAGGCTTTCTGAGCCTGGGAACTGTAAAACAGTAAGAATAGGAACGAATAGAACAAATAGGAACAGCAGGAAGCAGAGACCAAAAAGGGAGAAACAAAGTGAGATAACATCCCCCCACTTCTCCCAAAATTATTGTAAGATAAAAATAAAAATGAAGTAAAGTTAACTCGAAGCTCTTTAGAAATGTATGCAAAGTTATATATTTTTTTTGTCATGGTCCTGCCTGCCCCTATGATTAGAAAGAGAGTAAGAGAGCAAGGAGCTAGGGGGGAGAGCTGGGAGAAATGGGCAAACTCCGGAAAGCGGGATTTGCAATTTCTCCTACTGCTGGAAGGATGGCAGTAAGGTGAGGGTTGTGACTTCTGCTTCTGTGCTCTGAGAGGCATTTCCGTAAGCAAAATAGGCACCAGACTGTGGCCAGTTTGTCTTACCAGGTAGTACACTGCCTTGGACAGCTTTGCTACTTTACTGATATCTAGAGCTGATCTGATGAGGAAGAACCATGTCATGGGGGGAAAAATCAGGTGCTATATTTAATTTTAGGGGTAGGACTGTAACTGCTTTATGTTAGCAACAGTTGGCAAGCTACTCTGAAGAAGATCTTATATACTACTTTCTTAACAAAGGAGCGTGAGATGTGGTTCTGCTGAAGAACGGCTATTTAAAAAGTTAGAAAAAAAGGAAATCGTCAAGTTTTTTTTTTCTTCCTGTCTAATACTTCAGTTCCTGACACACTGAGGAAATCTCTTTGTTCTATATTTACTTCACTTTAGTTGCTTCACAGAGAAGCAGCTTCAGGAAACTCATTCTTTTGGCTCTTTGAAAATGAATACTAATGTCTTGCAGTTCTTTGAGCATATGACATCACTCGGCCCTCAGTCCGTTGTCTGAAAGCTTTCCCATGTTAACAGTCAAGGCACAATATTTAAATATTAGAAATCTGGAGTCATACGCATCTAGGTTTTCTTTCTCTGTTTGCTTTGCCATCAGCGAAGAGAAAACTGATTCCTTATTTCATGATCATTTGAAAGTTCTTTTTAGCTTCATCTGAAGAAAATAAATTGAGGAAGGGAGTATTTCTTATAGTGAAAAATAATAGGTTGAAACTAACCTGTCAGTTTTTTGGATTCTGCAAACTACTACTAGCTATCACATTCAATAAATCCAACACAGAAAAGTGCAATCTTTTGCTTTAAATTCAGATAATGCTGTGAAATATTAAGAGTAAAGCTGGTACAGCAAATATCAAGCTTCTAGATTAATATGTTAGGAAAACAAAAATAAAAGGGATTTCCTTGTCATGCCTGAAACTGCCTTTTAGACATAGTATTAACGAGCTAGGCATTTATACTAGATGGGGATGCAAACAAAATAGAAAGCACTATTTCAATTAATAATTCAGTTCAAAAATCTTTCAGTCTTTCACCTGTCATACACAAAATTCATATTAGCTAGAGAGGCACAAACTCTCAAAATATAGATATTATATGAAAATTTTAATCCTCCTTTGTTGCAAAAAACAATTATGCATATTATCAGAAATATCTGGGACATTGCAAAGGTAAAATATTCCGCCTGACGAGTTTGCTCCGTTTAACTGGTAGCACTTCCGAGAAACCGATGTTTCACTTTTATAAGGTTAAAGCCCTGGATTCCACAAACACTTTAAGAAAATTAAAAGTATATATATTAAAAAAAAAAAAAAGTCGGGTCGGTTTTAGTACTACGCTTGTAACACCGGCTCCAAGCGCGCTCTGCGCTCCTGCACTAGCGCTAGTCCGGCAGCGGCTCCCTGAAAACGTTAGGCCAGAGATGAGCCTCGGCGGCGGTGCGGCACCGGGAGCTGGTCTCGGCGCCCGGCCGCCCCGATGGGGTGTCCCACCGCTCCCACCGAAGCGCTCCCAGCCACACCAACGCCTACCACGGCAAAAAGTCGCCCCCAAAATAGCTGAGAGAGGCGGGCGGGG